CTGCTGGATCTGTTTTGCTGCCATCCCGGGGGCCCGACAAGCTCCTCCGACTGCCGTACCTTACATCCAATGAATAGTCCTTCTCTGAGCGGTAATAGGGAATCAGCATCGTAGCAGCAAGCATTGGCGGCGTGTAAGAGATAAATCAGATTGGGGGTCTTGCTTTGCCAGTTTATTGAATCTAAATTGCGTGCGCGCTTGGCCCCCGCCGGCCCTACACGGCCCATCCATCTCCTGACTGATAATGGAGCGGGCCCGATTCCACCTGGTGGGAGCATTATTACATTTCCCCTCTAACGAGACCCGGCTAATCCTGCCAAGGGAGGAGGACGGAAAAGAGAAAGGGAGAGAATAGGAAAGAACAAGAGAGAAAGAGGAGGAAAACGTTGGTGGAAGAGGTGAGGAAGGAAGGAGAGAGGAGGGGGAGAAAAAACAAAAAAAAAACGTCCATCCTGGCAGCCTGCCTCTGCCTCCCACTCTCCCTCTTTTCTTCTCATTCTCACTTTCCTTCTTCTCTGTTGCTGCGCATAAAACATCTTCTAGCGCCATCAGAGCTACATGGCCCCTGGGCCCCTGAGCTGCAATTACACTCATAATCACAATGTGATTTCACTGACGCTCTCCACCACCTCCCCGCCGATGCCGTCCCCTCGCCTTTCTGCTCTCCACCCCTGCAGCCAAGACTGAACGAAGTCTAAATGAAGTGAAAGGCTTCTCCTCTCGGTAACACCCGGCCGTTTATTACCCGCTTTAATAAAAGTCCATCACAGAATTACCCTACAATGAACTGAAGCCACTCAGTTGCCGAGAAAATATACTTCCAATAAGCGGCCTCCGCTCGCAGACTCAGACGGGTCGCAGTTGTTGATTATTTTCGTATACTTTTTTTTTTTTCCTCCTGTGCTGTTACAGCTGTAGCGTTAACAGGCTTTTCATGATGGTGCAGCAAAGTATGTTGCCTTCATGTTTTTTAAAGCAGAGCTCCTTATTGATGTAATTAAATCACATCCCAGGCTCGGCGCTCAGCCTTACTTTCATTGTTTTGAGGGGGCAGGAGCCCCCGTGAGGCAGTGCACTGATGAGAGATGGATAAACAGTTTGATTTGCTGCTATTGCCCCAAGGCACGGTGTACTGGAGAGATGAGCAAGAGAAGGGAAGAGAAAAGCATTAAAAAAGGAAAAAAAAAAAATGGGGACGGGTGGGATACGGCAAAAAAGAAGAAGCAGGGAAGCAAGAACAGGATAAGAGAACCTGTTGGAGGAGGGATGAAGGGATAGAAGGTGGAGGATAAACATGCAGAGAAAAAAAGGCGACAAATCGTTCCTGTTGTTTGTGTACAAATTTGTGTGCACGCAGGCAATGTTTTTTTTTTTTTTCCTCCTTCTTCTCTGTTATTTTTTGCTTGTTTGCCTGTTTCCCTCGCTGTCTTAGCTCTTCCTTCATCCTGCATGGCCCGTATCTATCTGCCTGTCTCCTCAAATCCTCCCCCCCCCCCACCCATACCCCACTCCGCTCCGTCTCTTACCTGCCTCCTGGTAGCCCCGAGCAAGGCGTGAACCAAACAACGAGAAGTTCATTCGCGCACACACATAAACGTGTCTGTGCATACAAACAAGAAGCGGTTGCAAAGGTGTACAGGATTTTACAAACGGCAATGGTTCTGCCGCATTTCTTCAAGCCTAGTTTTCTTTTTTGGGGGGTGGTTACGTTTTGAATGTTCAACCCAGAACTACTGTTCCCTGGAACTTAATTTGCCAGAACCTTTTATTTTTCCTCAGCAATTAGCTCTATCTGTTTCCACCGAGGAGTCCAAAACCAAACGTTTTACCGCTATATCTTGTGTGTACTAGTCCCACAAAAGATATACCTCGCATATCTTGTGTGGGACTGGTACCCATTTCATCCCTCTTCAGAATTTGGATGTTTTCCTGCATTTTGATTGATCAGCGGGTGATTAAAATAGGGGGCTCGTTCAGCATGCCACGTACGCAAAAACGTTTATCTTTGGACCATTTTTCAAACTTAAAAATGGATATTGATACATCTCCAGCAGACGTGATTGATAGGATTTGTATTTTGGAACATAAACACTGCGAACCATGTTAACTTTACCAGTTTTGATGAGGAAACAACTCCTTATCACGTCTCATTAAATGCATTCAAAAATTATCTTACTAAGGCATTTGAAAGTAACCACTTTAAAACACTGAAATTCGTCATAAATTAATAAATGTTTAAAGTTGGTGTTTGCAAACAAAATGCTAACTATTTCTGTGGGATCTTTTCAAATGACCAGGAAACATAAATTGTGAAGTAGTTTGAAAAAGGAAATGACTGAAATGAAAATGTTGGGAGCTTCCGAACTCAGTGACAATTCCTACAGAGCTGTATCGGGCTGTTTTTCAGTAGTTGATTTCTGTCCTCAAATCTGACACAGAGTAGAATAGAAATAGAAACAGTTTTTATTGAAGTGCCAAGCGAAAATTTAGATGCAAAAGCAGCATCACAAAAAAAAAAGAATCTTAAAGTGTTGAAAACAATATATAATAAGATTGACAATAGCAACGCTAACAGTGATAATAACAAAAATGTACTGAACAAGACAATGACAAAAAATACTGAGCGGTTATTAAAAATAAAATCATTTGAGCCTGGTTCCAGCAGCGAAAGCATTGTGGGTTGAAAGACACCAGAAACAATCTCCACTGCTACCTGGAGAGGTTCATGCAATGGAAATGCACCTTAATTTGAGTGCCCAATAATTCTCATTGCTTTGCTCCCAAACGCATTCACCCTTCACTGCTCAGAGGAGACAGAGGAGTGTTCAATCATCCGCGCAGAGTCATTGTTGGTAAAGATGCGGAACCTCCAGACTTAACCAGCCATGTCAGCCCTGTGACGGCTTCTTTGTCTCCACCAATTACCGAACAAAAGCGGCCGTTCGGCCGTCGGCCTCCTGTATCCAGACATTTTCCTGTACGGCTATTTGTACTTGTAGCACAAACTCTTTAACGATCAGAACATATGTGTGCACGGGCATGATGAGTGGTGCAATAAACCCCACTTGGACACCCACAGCTGTGCCCTAAAACAAACAAGGCTGCAAGCGCTCGCAAACACTTACACCCACACTCCGATTGTATTAACCAAAACAGTGCTGCGGTCTCATTCCCTTCCTCTCCCTTCTCTCTCGTCATCTCGTTCGCCTCAGTTTCTCTCCCCTGTTTTTTCCTCTTTTTTTCAAAGTTTAAACTCATTAAGTGTAATGATATTGGAGACTCAATTTTACATAGCTCACTCATCAACCAAGTGAGATAGCAATAAAGGCGAATGGCTCCACCGAGGCCCTAACACTGCAAAATAAATGATGCGCCGCAACGGAAATGTAATTAATTTAGAGGCAGTATTGATAGTCCTGCCATACACGGCATTATATTTTTTAATGCGGCTTAACATCTTGATTATTCGGAGGGAAAAGTGTGTGTGGTTGGGGGGGGAGTAGAGCAGAGACAACGTGGTATGTGATGAGGCCACGCTTAAGATGCCCTGACGAGTGTTTGTTCCCGCTGCCTCACTTTCTTTTAAGCTTTTCATTATACCAAAACGATAAACACCTCTTAGGAGGAAATGCTGACTTTGCGCAGGTATAAATAAAAAGCCGAGAAGGGTACCATCTTGCAGCGAGATTATGTTTATGCAATGATAAATCCTCATAGCTTACAATGGGGATTTTTTTCTTCTTCATGAAAACATAAGTTTTGCAAACATAAAAGCTAAATATTCCTTCCTTTCTTGAGTTATCTGTAAAAATTGATTTCAGAAAAAGGTAAATTTACTGTGAATTTCAGCACAGCTGTGCACTCATTATAGTACATCATTTTGATCCGTGGTTTTGGGGTCACAAGATTGAGACAAATACAATTTTAGCAATATTTTGTGGAAAGCTGATAATATCGGCTAACGTAAATTTGAATGGACCTGCGAAGGAGGACCATTGGAGGTAGATACCAGCAAGGAGAATTTTAAAATGTTTTACAAAATGTTTTACAAATTATCGGCACCAACTGATCATCAATAGATGAAACTTTCATTGCACAAAACCTTGCTTTTACGGACCTGACTGTGTCATTATATGCAGGGCTCGACAATATGGCTGAAAAACGCACTGTTTTGTCAAAAGATAAGTTAATGAGCGTAGACGGACTGGCTTACTTAAAAATAGTCTCTCATTCAGCACTACATGCACATCAGGCAGTTCAGCTTGTTTTCACAGAAAAGAAACAAGCCTGTGCCAGCTGCTACGTCCTGACATCTGAACCCTGAACATAGAGGTGGGATCAGGGTGGCTGATATAGTTTGAAAGAAATGCAAATTCCTCACTTTTTCTTTTTTACTGAAAATAAATTTTAAATGGGCTTTTAGTTTGTTTTTGGTGTTTCTGTGGATGATTGTACAAAAATGGGGCATATGGTTTTTATTCGTGGAAACTGGCCCACAGAAAAAAGATTTGAATCACACGACTAAGTGATAAGTTACGGTTTTTGTCTGGCAAATTTTGAAGCGACTCAATCTAGATGTGTTAGATTTTGAAGTAGAGAAGATGTACTCGTTTAAAAAAGCAAAATAGTTTTTTTTTCCATTAATATTATCAGGATGCCAGTATGTGTATAGTACTTAAAAATCATTTGTATTTAACTGTCACTCTTTCTCAATTTCTTTTTTCTACCTGGGTCACAAAATATTGCAACATTAAAAGTAGAGAAAGCTCCGTCAATGAATATGTTCCCTGCCAGTTTCATAGGTGGACCAAAGTGTCAAACTCAAAGGTTCACCTTCACATCCGAGGCTCATAATACTAGCTGAGACTACTTCAGAAAACAAAGAAAATAGCGTCATTATGAGAAATCAAGGATAATCACATTTGTATTTGAATAATCAAGTCAACATTTAGAATATTGACTTTGCTTTTAACTTTGTTTCCTGCCATTTGTCATTTCAGCTAAGACAGATGAAGTTCTGAAGGCCAAAGTCGCCAAAAGAGAAGAAGAAGCCCGAAAGAAGCTTGAAGAAGGTAAGTGTTCATGCTGATGTTTAGAACTTGGAAACGTTGACTTATAAGCCAACGTCAGCATCTAACACTGACTATTTTTAGCCAATATGAAAACTGAAATTATGGTGAAACAGATTGTGTCAAAAATTTAGGTCTGAATGGATCCAGGGTGATACATGAGAATAGTTTTGATCCACAAACACATAAATCTTTGCTTAAAAATTATACACACAAAAATTGTGTCCAAATAAAAATCTAATTGTTAGGTCAACAATAATGGACAAAACATCAAGTTAGCACATTTTGCAAGTCAGGTAAGACATTTGTATTTTTTTAGTCCATTTCCAGCCCAGATTGTTTATTAATTCTTTAATGTTTATACCAGCTTAATCCTGTTTAGGGTCATGGTGTGTGTCGCTTTTAGCTTTTAGCATAGCTACTTTACTTGCTCAGGAACACACGTTATAGGCCAGAGGTGGGAATACACACAGGGTGAACAAGTGTGCATTCCCACACATGTTCACAATAGTATGGAACCAAATTCTCAATTCTTGTTACATAGTAAATGACATGAAGTGAATAGTATTTCAAACGAGCAGAAGAAATATTATGTTTTTTGAACATCAATAGTATTTGTTGGTAATTTGTTGCTAAGACAAATTCCTTTGTCTTAGCTTCAAAACAAGCTGAATGGCTTCTAAGACAAATGGCTTCTTCAGACATTTCTGAAGAAATTTAAGCGGGGCCTGCCAAAGTGTGCTTGTCTGTTGGAACCCAGCGATCTGATGCTAAAAATTAGCATCAATGCTAAAGTAAGCTACAATGTACTCAGTAGCATGTGGAACGTCACAGCATGTTGAGTAACATGGAGTCTATTCTCTGTACTCTGTTCAGTATGTCAAAATTGGTGTAGAAGCTAAAATTGGCCAAAATGCTAATGTTAGCCTCACTAACATGTTGTCTTACATTAGCTGTGTCCGAATTCAAGGTCTGCATCCTTTGACGAATTGGTTTTGGTAGACCAGGTCCTTCCAAGGCCGTGAATAAACTAAGACCGGAAGAGAAAAGCTGTGAATTCAGACAGGTCTCGAACTGTTAACTCAGCGGGAGCAGACTTGTCCGAAAATGTCAGAGCAGCTCAACTGAGCAGATATTTTAGACTTAAATTTTCGGCTAAAAACGTTGTACAAAATTGTGTGGTGTTATTTAAAGTGTAACATAACAAAATAATTTCTCTTCACTGCCAATGTTGCTGGCAGTGAAGCAACAATGGCGGTTGCTTCACCGGACCCGCAGTGGATTTTGGGATATGGGGGGCTGTGAAGGATACACCGGGCCCGTCCTTCAAACTTGGGGAAAAGAAGGACGCATTTGAAGGAGTCTTCAAATTCAGACTGGCCTTGTCGCCTCGCTATGATGTAATCAGCCTACAAATCTGTCCTTTGAAGGATGCAGACCCTGAATTCAGACACAGCTATTGACTTCCTCCATGCTAAACATGGCTAACAAGTAAACAAAATAGCTAATGTGGGCAGTGCAAAAGTCACCTGATTTAAATACTGTATTGTATACAGTGTATACAAATGATTAAGCACACAACTTTATTTACATTCGGTGCCATTACTTTTACAAATCAGGAGTAAAAGTAATGGGAACCTCAGGATCAGGGCAGGGCAGTGCAGACAAGAGGCTCTATGAGCCGCCCCCACTTGTGGGGGCAGTGCACTGCTGATGTTTATGCTAATGTTAATGCACTGCCTTTTGATTTTCACTTTTCCATAAGTAAAAATCAGATGTTTACTTCGTGGCACTTGGTTATCAGAAAACACACTCATCTCTTAGCAACAGATTGACAACAAATATTGTTATTGTTCAAAAAACATAATATTCCTTCTGATCGTTTGAAATACTTCTTACCTTATGTTAATTAACAAGAATCGTGCATTTGGTTAATTTTTCGGAAAAGTTAAACTTTTTTTTTGTCATTGGTGGTAAATACATAACTATTCAACACAAGGGTAAAAACTTGTTTTGTACTTCGTGGCAATTTGTTACCAGAAAAAAAAACACAGAATTAATTCTTGTTTATAAAACATAAGTTCCTTTGAAATTAGACCCAAGAAATTTACAGTTGGTAAAGTTTTCAATAGTAAAAACCAGATGTTTTCTTCGAAGCACCTTGTCTCTTAGTTACAGATTAACAACAAATATTGTTATTGTTCAAAAAAACATAAGATTTCTTCTGAAATATTACTTACTTTATAATCCTTGCCATTTAACAAGATGTGTGCATTTGGTGAATTTGGCAGAAAAGTGAAAATATTTTTGGTTTTTTTTGTCATTGGTGATGAATATATTATAAACAGACATTCAACACAAGAGTAAAAATCTGATTTGTACTTCGTGGCAGTTTGTTACATTAAAAAAAAAAAAAAAAAACGCTCATATCTTAAAACCAAATTCATAATTGTTTATTAAACATAAGCTCCTTTGAAATACTCCTTGTCAGCTTAGACACAAGAAATTTACATTTGGTGAATTTTGCAAAAGTAAAAATCAGATGTTTACTTTGCGGCACTTGGTTACCAGAAAACACGCTTGTCTCTTAGCAACAAATTACCAACAAATACTATTGATGTTCAAAAAACATAATATTTCTTCTGCTCGTTTGAAATACTATTTACTTCATGTCATTTACTATGTAACAAGAATTGAGCATTTGGTGAATTTTTCAGAAAAGTACAACTTTTTTTTTCATTGGTGGTAAATATATTATAAAATATATTATATTCAACACCAGAGTAAAAATCTGCTTCGTTGCTGTTCGTTACCAGAAAATAATGCTCATCTCCTAACACCAAATTAATTATTGTTTATAAAGCTTACCTTTCTTTGAAATACTCCATGTCTGCTCAGACACAAGAAATTTACAATTCTTAAATTTTGCAAAAGTAAAAATCAGATGTTTACTTATTTGCACTGGGTTACCATAAAACAAGGTCGTCTCATAGCAACATATTATCAACAAACATTGCTATTGGTCAAAAAACGTAAGATTTCTTCTGCTCTTTTGAAATACTACTTACCTTGTAATACTTACTAGAATTATGCATTTGGTGACTTTTTCAGAATGCTAGTGCAGGCCCCAGTTACCTTAACACGCATGTTTTTGTCTGAGGGAGAAAAACCCTGAAGAAATCATAGAAACTGTTGCAGCATATAAGTAATGCTAACCACTCCTACACAGTGCAGCCCCTTATGTCTGCTCACTGCTCTTTATAAAGATTAATGGAAATAGATCTCCAACCAACCACAAAAATATGAAGCTTTTAATCCCTTTTTGTTTTTTTTAACTGATCCTTGGTTGTTTCATTCTACTTCTAATCTGTCAATAATAATTTAACTGGTTTCCTTTTGTAACTTTGCTAAAAAATAACAATATTAATAATAATTAACTATTTTAAAGTAGTATCAGTTCAACAGTTGTAACTATTTCAAAACAGGGACAAAATAGATAGCTGCAGTATTTCGCAATATTTTGGATGTGTTGTGTTTTCTCATGTAAATTTAGCATTAGCTCTAACATCTGTGTTGGCATTACAGGCTGGTTTTAGCAGGTCTATTTAGCAGTGAACCTGGACTATATTATCTGTAGTCCCACCCAATAATAAAAAGCAAGGCATAAACAATAAAAAAAAACAAAAAAAAACGTGTAAAGCAATTTCCAACAATACCTTCTTTTTTTTGCTCGAAAGTTGCAAAAATGTATTGCTGCAAGTCAGGTTTGTTTACAGTGTGATTCCATAAGTATAAACTGTAGATAAAATTAGCATTTGCTGAATGAGAGTTAAACATAGTGTTAATTTGCTAGCATTTAAATAAATAAAAACTGGATTTAAATATGTCTCATTCAGTCTCTATAAAACAACCGATGTCTGATACTGCTTTCTGATACACTTCACCTCTACTTCGCTAGCAACAAATTCAGGGATGCTGATTACAATCTGTAGTTTTTATTAGAACAGCTGTGATCTGCATGGAAATGCAGGCAGAAAGGAAGAAACATGCTTAGCATTGCAGGTGATAAATTCAGTCGAGCTCCTTCACGACCAGCAGCATCGGTTTTACATACACAGACACACACACTGCCTCAAGATTATCTTGATGCACATTTAAATAAAGTCAAGAGTAATTTGCTGTGGATATACTAACAGTAATAAAAGTCCTCAGATAGAATTAATGACCCAGGTCCCTTGACTGACCAGGACATAATAGAAATGAGAATATCAAATGTACCACAAGTGTCTATGTGCACGCCCACACAGATGTGTGTCGTACTGTAAGTTGTCCTTGTTTGTGCTTGTGTTGATGTTGCTGGATTTAACTCCGTCACTCTTTGTGGGGATTTTTTTTTTTTTTGCGTTGAGTGTGTGTGTGTGTGTGTGTGTGTTTCTTTGTACAATCGGTGGCAGCGTGACCTTTAAAGTTAGCTGACCTTTTAGCCAAATGAAAGCGTAGCTATAAGGAACTAATTAGCCCTGCACTTTCTTTTTCTTTCACTTATTTAAGGAATAACTTATTCCCTTCCTACCTTTTTTTCTTGCCCTGTTTTTTCTGTCCGGTCTCGTTATGATTTGAGTTAATGTAATTTGTTTTTCTTTGTCTCAGAGCTCCATCTTCTCTTTCCTCATGAATAGTTTTAATACTTTCTCCTGTTTTTTGTCCAGCAAATTATGTACTAGTTTCATTTCTCCCTGTCAGTTTGTGCCTTTTTCAAGGTCCAGCCAACCTTTTCACTATTCTTCACTTCACATCTGCAGGGAGACATAGAATATGTTGTGAATGTCTTTCTTTTTCTGTGTAGCCGTTTATTAAGCAAAGTTCTTACAAAAAACAATCAGCTTCTTGCCTCATAAGATTTTTTTTCTTCACACGAAGAAAGTTTAGAGAAGCAACTTAAAGTGACCCAGGTGGCCCTCTTTCTTTGCAAAAGAAGCAAGTGCTTCCATCACAAGTACCTC